AACAAGTAATGGCGTTGGGGTTGTCCGTGGAGACCAGACAGCTGCCAGACAATGCTATGTTGCTAGTGTTCGGGAAATAAATAACGACGTCATGCAAATCTCGAGGATGGATCCCGAGGACGGGCAACAAGTCAGACTTGCTCCTGTCGAAGAATTGATGGAAATTGAGCTCGAGCATGATAAGAAGGTGACGATTGGTCGGGATCTTGACGTCACCCTGAAGACAGAACTTGTTAATTGTTTATCTCGCAACATTGACGTTTTTGTCTGGAAGGTTGAGGATATGTCAGGGATAGACCCTAAAATTGCAGTCCATAGGCTTAACATTAGCCCAGGAGCCAGACCGGTAAAGCAGAGGAAAAGGCAGTTTACCCCAGAATGACGGGAGGTTATTCGCGAAGAAATTAACAAACTCGTCAGCGCTCAATTTATTCGGGAGGTCCAATATCCCGATTGGCTTGCCAATGTTGTTTTAGTAAAGAAGGCCAATGGTAAGTGGAGGATCTGCATTGACTTCACAGATCTTAACAAAGCATGTCCAAAGGATAGTTATCCCCTACCACGGATTGACAACTTGGTGGATAGCACGTCCGGACATAAGTTGTACAGCTTCCTGGATGCGTTTTCTGGTTATCATCAAATCCTCATGGCCGAAGAAGATCAAGAAAAGACATCATTCATGGCCGACTCCGCCATATACTGTTATAAGGTCATGCCTTTCGGTTTGAAGAATGCAGGGGCAACATACCAAAGACTCATCAACAAAGTCTTTGCTAACTTGATTGGAAGGAATGTGGAGGCGTACGTTGATGACATGGTGGTGAAGAGCAAGCAAGTTGACCAACATATTTCAGACCTTGAAGAAGTGTTCAACACCTTGCGAAAGTACGGGATGAAGTTGAACCCCTCGAAATGTGCATTCGGCGTTGCCTCGGGCAAGTTCTTGGGCTTCATGATCACTCATCGGGGGATAGAGGCCAACCCTGACAAAATACAAGCCTTGGCATCTATGGAATCACCAAGGAACAAGAAAGAGGTACAGAGGTTAACTGGTAGGGTAGCAGCCTTGAACAGGTTCATGTCCCGAGCATCGGACAGGTGCTATCCCTTCTTCAAAGTCCT